CTCAAGGTCCTCCAGGAGCTCGTTCAAAATCTCGTGTTGGGAGGCGTCGGGGTGGGCGGCCGAGCCGTTCAGCCCCTTCGGCATGGTGTGGGAGAGCGACGCGTTGGGGGGGGGGCGTCCCCGGTGAACTTCAGAAACGGGTCCTCCCCGGCGGCTAAGTGGAGGGAGTTTTCATCCGAGTGGACTTCGCCGCTCTTTTTCGAAAAGGAAACATAAACCTCCCTCGAGGAGGGTCGTGCGATCGGGGGGAAGATGGGCTCTTTGTCATCATGGCAGTCCTCGCTGGCGTCGACCTCGAAGGAATCCCGATAATCGTCAAGGAAGCCGTGGATGTGCTTCCGTTTGGGAAAAATAGAGGTCGTGGTGCTTGGGTTCATCGGCATCGGTGGGGCATACGTGCAGACGCCGAACATTTTTTGGTATAAATTATACCACTGAAAGTCATTTTGAAGAGGTGTGGTAAAAATACCTTTGCGCGCCTCGGATGGCATTGTTTACCCGAAAAACGATTTTTTTGGGGGGGGAGGGGGAAGGGGGAATGGAGATTGTGGAAACTCCAAAAATAGTACGCACGCAGGAATATAGAAAAGCACTTCAATATATGTAATTTTAGACTATTTTCGGCCTTTTATTCAACGTCGCGCACTTTTCAAAAAAAAAAGTCGAGAGGGCGAAATACAATGATGGGTACGAAATCGCTTTATAGAAATTTAAGGTGTTTTCTCACCATTTTTCTTTTTCTTGATTTAGGAGTGGAAGTATTCACATCCGCAAGTCAATTTTCATTTTTCATGCAATCCTGAGCAGTAAAGAGAATACACTTTACCATAGTACCTATCATAATAATGAGAAGAGAAGATATCATATTCAAAATGTGTATCTGAATAAAGTAATCTATAAATAGCATGACCAGTAAAGGTAAAAGGAAAATATCCATTTCTCTAAAAACAAAACCTTCCGAAAATGGAAAAACACAAGGTATCTTGGGGAGGGGGAGGGAGATATCTTCCTCCTCCCTCAGATACATTTAAAAAAAAGCACGAAGTAATTCCAACACTTTCCATTTGCGCCTTCTTAATCTATTTGTTATATGTTGCTGCTGAAAGAACTTAAAGGAAAAATTGTAGGGCGCTATTTTCTTGAACGATAAAGAAGATTGGTGTCTTTTGTAAAAGGAGGGGAAGGGAGGTTATGTAGAAAAATCTTTCTCGTCGTGGATGTTGACGCTATATTCCATAGTATTGGAAGAAATCATCTTTTCGGTATTTTTTAAAAGGAAGGAAGCCTTTGGACCCCACCCGCCACCACCCCCCCTGGGACATCTCTAATGGGTCTATCGCGCAAGTTTGGTGAAGGTGTTGAGTAGAACCCACGCCACCAGAACGAGCAAAAAGCAAATCAAGCCCAACTGCATAACATCCAACGAAAACCGGGCCGGTTTTAAACCCGCGTTAAAAAGGTACTGTCGGCATTGAATAGAGATACTATTCGAGGACTTTTTCCCCGTTTCGTCCGTGGGTGAAAACACGCACGACTGGTGATCCAGCTCATTTACCATGAGTGATTCAAAGGAAAGGAAAAAGGGCGAAATACTTCCAAAAGGCTTCAAATAATCCGGGATAGTCTCGGTCTGGACCAGGGCCCCGCCAAACACCAAGAACCACAGAATAAACACGCTACTCACCAGTGCGGATGCCCCAAACGATTCCATCACAATACCAACACACATCACCATTAATGTCATGCACACAGAAAAGAGCGTAATAATGAGGATAAACCAAAGGAAATGATCACCCGAGTCCGTGCGAAATCCCATTGAGAAGTAAATGGCGGAGCTCAGGACCACAGACGGTATGATGCGCAGGGGAAAGATATCCACCACGAGTTTCGAGATAAAATACGGCAGCGTGGTATAAAAACCGTTCTCCCGCTCGACAATAAATAGCTTTCGCTCCCCGATCAGGTGCTCTAGACAGCTCAGGGAGACGAAGGAGGTGACCAAAAGCAAAAAAGTCACGCTCCCCTCACGATTCAGAGCCCCGGAGAGATCGAGCGCCTGTTCTTTGTACAAACTACACATCAAAATCACCATGCACACCACGACGGCCGCGTGGGACATCACCAGATGGAAAGAACTGATGAGGCTGGCAAAGGAGCGCGCCGTCAGAAGGCTAAACTGCTGATAAATGTCCATATAATACA